AAAAGCTTTTAAAGCGTCGCCCATGGCCAATTTTGGGTACGGTAATTTTCTGCGATTTCGCGGGTGCGCGCAATTTTAAAGCTTGACATGTTTGGTGTCTATTTACCCGACGTGACCCGATCTTTTATATTTTACCAAAAAACTGGGTAATAATAAAATGTTTCCTAACATAATGTTAAAAAAACTTTTTTTTCCCCAAATTTTCTGTAATTTTTCCTAATTATAGTAAAAAATAAAAACCCCAGTTGTGATTAAATACCACCAAAATAAAGCTCTATCTGTCCCCAAAAAATGGTATAAAAAAATCATTTCAGTACAGCGCTGCATGACGGAATAAACGTCAGTCAAAGTACCGCAGCGCTGAATACTGAAAAATGGCCTGGCCAGGAAGGGGGTCTAAACACCTGGTCTTGAAGTGCTTAAATCCTGAATCTAGATAGGAGTGAGTAAGGGTGAGAAGATTGGTCAGGTTTTGAACCCCAGCTGTGTCCCTGTACAGAATTTTTCTTCCTATAGTTCAGTTTGGCATAGAGGGCACAATTTCCAAGAGCAATTAGAAAAGAGGAGCCATGTTTTTCATAGTATTTGCTACATATGAAGATTCCGATACAGATTTTTCTTCAATTTTAGAGCCAATCAGCAATTTTTCTGAAAATGCCATCTACACAGGGCAAGGCATGCAGGCAGTCCGCATCCTAGTATGCACTAGATACAAATGGCAACTCTCCGTAAAAGGTGGGCCACATACAGCAAAAGCTGAAACAGCAGGAGTGAGAGAATTACCACATTGGTAAAAAAAGCAAGGGGTAGGCAAACTTCAGCTCTCCAGCTGCAACTACAAGTCCCATGAGGCATTGCAAAACTCTGACATCCACAGGCATGGCTCCCAAAGAGGCATGATGGGATAATGGGATTTAAAGCTTCAACACAGCTGGAGGGCCAGAGTTTGGCCACCCCTGGCATAGAGCAGACAAAGCAATCAAGAATTGCGCCGCTTAGTTTTGGAGCCCGGTAGACCATTGGGCATATGAAAACTGCATTATCATTTAAATTCAAGAGGACCTCTATGGGATGAAATGTGTCAGGGGAGGATAATGGTCTGAGGGGAAGTACAATGCATGCTCATTAAAGTAAACAGAAAGTGATGGGGGGGGGGCGCTATCTGGATTTCCTTCTTACCTGGATCTGTGGTTGACTTTTGCACTGCACGAGAAGTAAACATGCCCCATTTATCCGTGTCAGTGCTCTGAAGCTCACCAGCTGGAAGGGAGGTAGTGGAACCCTGACTAAACCATGATCTGTGGAGAAACAGGACAAGAGACTTCATGAACAAGAATGGTGAAAGCATGTTACTTCAACAATAGCAGTTAGCATTAATACTTCCTTGAAGGAGCTGCTAAGAGCTTTCTTGTTAAAGCAGCCCTAGCATCAGATATCTCTAGGTCAAGTGCATGATGGCTCAGCAATGTGCAAGACTTACAGGTGTTTATCATCTCTCGCAGATCTCCCCAACAGGACTTCTTTGGTCAGGATTCTCTAGGGTCAGAAAACTACTTCCTGAAATAAGATCCCAGCTCAGAAATGACATAAAGCATGTAAATCCTGGGTCAAGAGCACTTCTTGGTTGTGTAAAATGCCTGCCACAGATCTGCCCACTGCTGCTCACCTTGTGACTTGCTACAAATGTTACAGCATTGCAGTCTGAAAATTATACTGTTGCTGTATATTGTGATATGACAAGAATTTACACAGGGTTCCAAACTTACTGAACAGTCCACTTTAGAGGCCTTTCACATGGGCATGCCGATCAGGTCCGCTTGTTAGTTTTTCAGGCGAATCTGATCAGAAGTCCACTGTTGGTCTATGGTCAACCTGATCTAAAATGGACGGACGTCCATTTACAGTTGATTCCGGCGAGGTCTTTGAGGTCCCAAAAAACAAACAGAACAGTTTCATTTTGGCAGACCTGATCATGGCAGATTGGGGTAATCTGATTTAAACAGAGGTCTGTTTACATCCAACTGCTCATAGACCTAACATGGGTCCAGTAATTTCAGTTTTTTTCCCTCTACCACAAGATAAAAAAAAGGAAAAATCTGGATGAACATTGACATCACAACGTTGACATCCGATCCACACTGCTCTCAGCAGTAGATCTGTGCATGGATCCCCAGCTGTTAGGAACTAAAGGCGTCCATGTGGAAAAGGGGCCTTAAGGCATCATAGCAATCTCAAAAACCATTACTACTATACATGTAAACATCACTGCTAGCAGAACACTTGTTAGTGCTCTAAACAACATTTCACCTTGCCTGATGGAAGCAGAGGTGTTCTGTTCACAGCAACCAGCTTGCTTTGAGCGGTCATATGGGTTACATAACAAAAGCATATTTACTACCTGCGCCTTTTCTCATTTTTAGGCTTTGATGAATGAGACTCATTTGTCATGTTAGAGGTTTGCATTACCTGCGCATTTGCTTTGGTGAAGAGCTTGGAGTGCTGCAAGGTGTGGACTGAGCAGATGAACTTTGTCTCTCTTCGCTTGAATCCCCAGTCTGCATCTTTAACTTCTGTCAGGGGGAAAGAGAATCTACCAATTACATGTGACATCCAGACAGTCCAATAAGTCCAGCAGGTAAAACCATGATGTTTAATTAGAAGCTTGTTAACCTTTTAAAATCACTACTGTATGGCAGTGCTCCGAAAGCACACAAACAGCTTCTTAAAAATAGCACAAAGGCAACCTGAGACCTGTTTAGGCTATTAAATGGAAGTCTGCAGACATGTGAAGGGCATGAAGAGAAGTGTTGCCAGCTGGAGCAAGCATTTTATACAATGCTTTAAATATCTGGCTAGTCCAAATTTGAGGTTTTTTTCTGTTTAACGCAGTTTTTTTTTTAAGCACCTGTTCAAACCTGCCAATGAAAACCCTGCATCTATAAAAACAGCTGGACAAACGTCCCGCATTTTATTACACTGCCACTGCGCACCATATCTACTCTTCTAGATATAAAAAGTGATTTGGAGCAACACTATATCCAAATGAACAATCTGCAATACTGGTGTCCCCTGCAGATCACTAGAAGAAAAAAAAATCTGAAATCATGGCGCATTCATTAGACCTTCCCATGCTAACAGACCAGTACAGTGTATGGTGCAGCAAAAAAATAAAATGTACTCCGATCTGCCGGCACCCAAATTATGAAGATTTAAATGTAACCACACAACTATCATTTCAAGATGATGAAAGTCCTTTTTGTAAGGGTGAAGGAATGCACCTTCAGCCTAAGGAAAAGAGGCTCTGCACCATGCTGACATGTTATTGGTAAAGGTTTAGAACAACTGCATCTTATTTGGAGTCTGTATCATCCTAGATTTGGGTGCATGTTCTTCCAAACTACTAGGAAAAGCCTCTGATCCCTTAAAGCAGCAGTATTGTAGACTGAACCACAATTCACAAAACAATGAAGAACGAACTAGACTAGCCCGTGGATCTAAGCAATGAAGTAAACATAGTCTACAAGTACCACTTACAAACAATTTACATGGCTAACGCCTAACCCTGCTTGGTTCGTTCCTACAGTCATACTGTAATCCAGTATCAGTTACAAAACAGAATAAAACAACATGTTCTTTCTTTTAAGAACAGGACATAATGTTATATTAATTGCTATAAGCCACAGAGCAACCAGGTAACTATATTAGGATTCCAGTAAACAGTTCCAAAGGGAGTATAAGAAACTGGCAAATGTTTGTATATTCGTACCATCCTATATCCAGGCTAATAATGGCACCAACCTTCTCTGATTTGTGCACTTTTACACTAAACAATATTTGGAGGTCACCTGTTAACGTTGATTTTCTGGTAAAACGAAGCCAGACATTGAATGGACCCAGTCCATGTCACCAGTCTTGGAGCCCCAAATATTATATGATGACCTTATTTCCAGCACATATACCTTACATCTCATGTACTTAGGCTAGCAGCTGGATCTTTAAGGGTACAATGGGGGGAATTTATCAAAACTGGAGCAGACAAAAATCTTGAGTAGTTGCCTATGGCAACCAATCAACTTCTCTATTCAGTTTGTTCAGCCAGGATTTGAAAGAGAAGCGGATTGGTTGTTATGCACAGCTGCTCCAACTTTTGTCTGCTCCAGTTTTGATAAAATTCCCTTCAATGTATGTACAATGGCCCCACACTGAACTCTATAGTGACAGCAGGCTGTCATCCACAAACATTAAGTAGCTAAACATCACCTCTACATTAAGTTCAGGTCTGCTAAAATGTAGCATGTGCTTAAGTAAAGTATGCATGACAGCCTATGTTCATGCACAAAGGTGAAAAGAGCCTTTCCGAAAGGGGCAATATACATTAGGTTTGTCTCTTAAGACTCAGCTATATGCCCAAATGCATATAGATTGTAAGCCCTCAGAGGCAGGGCCCTCCTCACCATCTTGTCTTGCATTGTGATGTCTTCCTTATATTGTAAAGCGCTGCGCAAACTGTTGGCGCTATATAAATCCTGTAGAATTATAATAATGTATCCAAAGATCAGTATCCCCATACAATACATGGCCATTAGTCCAAATGATAAAAAAGACAGTAAAGGCTGTATAAAGTACTAATAGGTATACAATAAAAGATACAAATATACTGTTTCCAATACTTTCCTGTAGACCCCACACATTCATGCAAGTACAGTACAAGGAAATGCAGAATACATTTGTAGAGATGATGGAAGGATAACAGCAAGCAAAGCATAGCCTACATTTACGTCACAGCACCACTATAAGTAAATACAATAGGGCAAGATGCACAGTCCAAGCAGGAGCATGGAAGGAAATACAAGGGACAGAGGGCAAAGCACAAATCTTACATGCAGGGCCTCCGCCACCCGATGGTATTTGGACTCTTCAGTAGTAAGGCCCTTGTGTGGAGTATAGCCAGCATCCCTGAGACCAGCCCGCTGCTCGAAGCGCTGAATGCTCTCTTGTGTATGTTCTGAAATGGAAGACATTTGCACACACAGCTTTCAAGCGGGTGCCACAGCCATAGACTGAGTGGAGCCTTACTCCTCCATACTCATTCCAGTCATTGCAAATAACACAATACAGGCACAGTAGACACAATGGAAATTAACCTTTCCAACCCAATCCAAGTGCGTCTGGTCAGTCAAAACACTTGCTTTTGCACATCAAATCCTTATGCAGATAGACTTCTCTCATTCATTTCACCATGACCTTTTTTTTAGTGGTGATGTAAACTAACCAGCACAGGTGTAGAGCCGACCACAGACATCGGTGGGCAGTCACCCACATTCTAGGATATCAGGTCAAAATTGTCTGGTGCTGTATCATAACATCTACAGACCTGAGAATCACCACCCAAATGACTACATACATAAGTCTCTGGGTTCATTAACCAAGCAAACCATAGGTAGTGTATGATTGTGCATGCATTTTATTATAATGTACAGCACCAGGAAAATTTGTCTCTGACAATAGAAAGAGCTGGAGCCTTTCCATCACACATTTGCTGGAGACACTAGGACCCCACAGACAATAGGAGACAGGGCTGCTTTGTGCATTGGGATTATTTTATGTAGTCACCTTCAAGGGAAAAAAAAATGCTAATGGGAAGTTTTAAATGGTCACACCTACAAAAGAAGAAGTGTTTAAAGTCACACAAAAAACTCATTTTAAAAATACATTCCTTGTACCAGAACTTACATTTTTTTATCTTATTTGTGTATCACTCGACTGTAGATCCTCAAATCATCTCTGAATTCATGCCGACACTGTCCTTCCTTCTGGAGGGTGACTACTTTGTTCCTCATTTTCCCTGTGTGTTGTAAAAGTAGTCACCACTCCAAGCTCCCTCCTGTGATGGACTACACTCTCATGTTTAGTTTACTCATTTGTAGTGAGATTTTAGTCCATCACAGGAGTGAGCTTGGAGCGGTAACTACTCTACATTTGTTCCCCATGGTCCCTGTGTGTGTTGTAGTCACCCTCCAGAAGGAAGGACAGTGTCAGCACCAATTCAGAGATGATTTGAGGATCTACAGCTGAATGATACACAAATAAGATACATTTTGTATCTTAGGGTACTTGAATGCATTTTTAAGGTTATCTCCTGAGTTTGTTGTTACTTTAACAAGTATAGATTCATCTTATGCTAAACATGTGCGTCAAGGAAAACACTTCACATTTTAGATCTAGTTGAAGAGTGGGAAAGAACTAGAATTCCTGTCAGCTTTTTTACTGCGATTTGGGGCTCCATTTGAGAGACTTCCTTTCACTTCGTGAAAATCTCACACAGCATCACAGATAAATAAAAACATGTGATCTGTAGCCTTCTCCTACACAGCATTTTTCTTGAAGTCTCTGTTGCCTTTAGCCTTGGTTCACACCTAGGCGTTTTTGAGCAGTTGGAAAAGCGCTTTTAAAATGCCCAATACAAGAAAGCCCATGATTTTCAATGGCCCTGGTTCACACCTGAGCAGAAAAACGCCAAACGCCCAAACAGGTACAGAAGCTTCTTTGGGCAGATAAAAGCGCTTTTTTTGCCCCATAGACCATTGGAAATTCCCAAAAATGTGCGACAGAAGCATGTTGCACATTTCCGTGAGCGGTTTTGCACGCATTCAACTGCCCACAATGTTTTATGAGTTGCCAATCAAAACGCGCATACAAAATGTGCACAATGCGCAAATAACCGCATGCTATTAACGTGCAAAAACTGTGCCGCCTAGGTGTGAACCAGGCCTTAGAGCAGGGGTAGCAAACCTCCGGCCCTTCAGCTGTGGTGCAACTACAAATTCCATGAGTCATTGCAAAATTCTCACAGCCTTCTACAGCACAAGTTCATCTGTAAAATCTTCCGAGAAAAAAATACAGCCCAATTCAAATCACAAACAGTTGCATATAATGTGTGTGGCTCAGCCAACTATCGTGCTAAAAAGCTTTGGAATCCCAACACCTAGGATGAGAATTGCTGGATGCCAAAACACAAAAAAACTTGCTTTCAAAACTTTAGTTTCTAAGCACTTGCACTGTGTATCTAGAAAGCAATGCCGAACAGGCAGTGTGCGCTTGCGCACAACGGCCCTTACGGCTGTTATCGTACGGACATGCCACAAACCCGCCGAACATCGTACGATGCTCGGCGGGTTTTCGAACATGTCCGTAAGTTTAAAGTCGTGCGACCTTACAGTAGTAGAGGTCGCACGGCTTCCACACACCTTACGATAATCGTACGATTGCGGGATTTCCCGCGATTATCGTAAGGTGTGTGGGGACCTTTACGGAGACGGACAAAGCCAAACGTGTTTAAAGTTCAGACAAGGTGACAACCCTGACCCTCTCTATTGATACAGTGGAGGAGTGAGAGGATCCACCCTAAGATATGAAGTGGGTTATTTAGAAGGATTACCAGTTGGGGGGAAAAAAAAAAAGAAGGTCACTGCATTTGTTTTAGGGACTGGTAATCTGCAAACGTTTACATTTTTGTTTAGGGTTCAGAAACACATTACGTATCAAAAGGATACTTTGATAAAAGCTCAGCCGACTATCCAGATATGTATGACACAATAGCAGTGACATACAGGGGGGCATTGATCAGAACTGGAGCAGACAGAATCTCATGGCCAACAATCAGCATTTCCCTTCAGTTTGCTCAGGTAAGATTTGAACATGACAGAGAAGCTGATTGGTTGCAGTGCAAATCTGCTCCAGTTATGATCAATTCCCCCCACAGTATCTGGACATACTGCAGCTTTTGTCACTGGATCTCGGGGCAACTGTCAGCAACAGCCGTTATCCGCTTCGAAAGCTGTTCTCAAAAATCAATCCTAGCTAGTTACCGAGCGCCTCCTATGTGTTCTACTTTAGCTATATTCCACAAACTAAAGCACATAAAAAGCGGAGATAGCCTAAAAAAGGTAACGCATATGCAGCCCATTACTACATGGAAGCTCCCAGGTGTTGCCCGTGTTATTGCAGCATGTATGCAGGGGCGAATTTAGGCCTTGTTCACACCAAGCGCGGAGCAGGTGCAGACCGGATCAAAACTGCATTCAATGTACTCCAATGGTATTTTTTGCTCTAGTTCACATCGCAGCGTGCAGTTCCAGAGCATGTAAAAAAACTGCAGCAAGCCCTATTTTACCTGCTCTGGAACACATGCAAACACATCAAAAACACATGCAAATGCCTGGAGCGCACTGAAAGCCAATGCTAAAACTAATTTTTTTTTATTTTTTTTAAAACCAAAAACGACCCGGAACGCATCAAAAACACAGCACAACTCACTGCACTGAGTTTACTTTATCACTTTATTTTTTTTACTTTTTATTTATCTTGTCCTTTACTTTTTTTATAATTATTTTCTTATTTTTTTAATAATTATTTTCTCATTTTTTTACTTTTTAATTACCTTATTTATTTCATATTTTTTTTAAATAAATTTCCGAGTTCACATGTAAACGAAAAATCAGCTGCCTCACTCTACATTTTGTACAAGCAGGACTAAATGTAGAGTGGGCAACTGCCCCACAAGGACACCGCTGCCGCCCCTCTGCGCCCTGCCACCCCGAGGCCGGGCCTCGGTGGCCTTGTGGGGAATCCGGGCCTGCATGTATGTTGGAAATTATATATTATATAATTCAATATATTTCACCTTCCTTTCCAATATCTCCTGCTCTGCCAGCTTCTGAAGCTTTCATAGATTGACGGAATGTTATTATAGCCACTGTTATAGAAACCCGCCCATGCAACCTATGGAATTTAGACCCAGCAACTCCGTGTGTGTAATCATACATACATACATACATACATACATACATACATACATATATATATATATGAGGTTAAACAAGTAAACTCCATAAAAGCAGCAGCTATTCTGGCCCTTTAAAGTAGCAGTAGCTGAGTCAATTTGTCTACTCAGCGCATCCCAGATAACGTTATCAGAATAAAAAGGCAAACATCTGCAAGCCACTGAAATGCATTACAAAAGTAAAACACAGACCATATGTCAAAAGGGAAAAAGATTGAAAGAAAAAAAAAAATGGTATATATAATCGATTATAATCGATTATGTCGATTAGTTGTTGCAGCCCTAGTCTGTGTATGTACACACACATACACTTACTTACATTTATTTTACATATATACATTTGTACTGATCACAGAAGTGCAACAGTGAGGAGAAAGACCCACTGTAAGCAACACCACCACCGCTATAGAACAGCTTATTTAAACAGGACCAGTGGCAGGAAACTAGGGATGCACAGATACCAATATTGTTCCCGATACTGGGCATTTTCCCGAGTAATTGTGAAAATGCCCCGATACTAAAAACCAATACCGGCGCTGCCTTAGGTTCCGCACTTGCTGGGGACCTCGCAGCAGCCTGCTTGGGAACCACGCAGCGCCCGTTTACTTCACTTGCTGCCCCGCACCCTGGAGCAGAGCAGTTGGAGTATGTAGCAATATATTATTCAGCGTTGCTGTATGATGTATTGCTGGTGGTATTATTCTGCATTGCTGTATAATGTATTGCTGGGATTTGTAGTCCTCTATAGCTGGTGGTATTCTGCATTGCTATGTAACGTATTGGTAAGATTTGTTGGCCCTCTACAGCTTGGAGTCCATGGCGGAACAACCAGGGTTGCAGCGGTTGAAGCTGCAACCAGGAGCTGGCGCTCCTCCACTATCCTAAAATCATTAGTCTGTATTGTTCTAGAAAAAATGTAAAAAAAAAAAAAAAAAAAAAAAGAAAATGGCAAAATTGTATCGCCAAGTACTTGAAGAAAAGTATCAGTACTTAGTCTGGAGAAAAAATGGCATCAATACATCCCTATAGGAAACCTTGGCTCTCCAGCTGTGGTGAAACTACAACTGTCAGTCTTACAATACCTCATGGTTCCACAACTTTTGGAGTACCCCTGAACTAGATCTTGCCAATGCCATTGGTCTTTAAAAAGATCAACTCAAACATTACTATTGTCCATATGAGGAAACATGAGACATCCTTACTTGTTAAAAGAGAGTTCATGATGACAGAAGTTGCTTTAGCCTTCACCACAGGTGCCTTTTCAACAGTAGAGGAATGGGGTAGAGCAGGTGGGGGCATACTGTTATCCCCTTCCTCAACCTGCTCAGGACAGAGGAATGCACAGGAAGAGAGAGTGGTAATGACGTTATGAAGGGAAGGGGAAAAATAAAAGAAATGACATGTTAACTGTAAGGCTTCATCTTCACTACAAGAGAATATATAGTTGATGGCAACGTTTAACTACCACTGCGCAAAGATCTCCTCACTGTAGACCTCTGCTCTCATGCTACTACAAAGCCAAGCAAGCCCAGAAGTCTCCCTCTAGCTGAAAGGGCAACACTGATATTACTACAGCAAGGAGATTTTGCCATGTTTGTCCTAGGAGGTATAAAGACCCACTGGAAACCACCCAATATTGTGTCATAGTTTGTGTAGGCAAGTCCACTACCCGCACAAACACTGATCTGTTCTCCCTCTTTTTTTAATCTCTTTTAGACATCATGAGGATGCTGAAAACATTTATTTCAAACCAGTTTCACTGTAAAAGGTCTTTAGGTCATTACACCTTCCCACCCCCAAACTGCGTCTAAGTCCTGGGGGGGCTTGAGAGAGAGAGAGAGAGAGAGAGAGAGAGAGAGAGTGAGAGTGACTACTTTTTATTCCCCAAGGTTCCCGAGTGTTGTAAAGTAGCCACCAATCCAAGCTTGCTCCTTAAAAAAAAGGTAATTGAATGTATTTTTAAGATTTAACTCCTGAGTTAAGCGTCACTTGAAGCCTTGATTAGAGGTGGGTGATTTGAACCAATTACAGTTTTCTTGTATATGGTACAGACATCAGTAACAAGTCCTCTGAAGCCAAGTTCAAAGTTCCGCCCTCCAACTGCCGCCATCATGTAGGGACTGCCACTCTTGCACCAGTATTTTCTTTTAAATGATCATTACTTTAGCATTGCGACTCTTAGTATTTTAATGTTTTGGTGGAAAAAGTAAAAAGGGAGTGGCACAAATTCTCCCTAAACTGTACACGTTCCCAATATAACCAGAACTGTACATCTTCAACCAAAATATCAGATTTGGGAATACAAAAAGTTTACTTATGGAGCTATCATTACAGAAGTCACTACAAAGCTGGCTCTACACAGCATACCTTAGACAGCTTCTGGTATTTACGTTCTGGGATTACAGGTTTTCTCCACAGGCTGTTAGTACACATGTCCGACGGGGGTGGCGTCATTGGTGCCGTATCCTCCAGAGCATCGTCATAACTGAAAGCACGACGGTGCATCCCGATAGGCAGGGACATTTTTCCTAGAAGCCCACTCGAGCCGTGCTCAATGGCTAAGGACAAAGAGCCAACTACTTACTATACAATTCAACTTCAGAAATATTCTTTAGTACACTAAATAGCAAACATCAGTGATAACATTCTTAAAGGTGGAAAATTACCTAAAAAACATGGCCCTAGTCTTCCTACCAATCGTGCAAAACATAAGTGGCAATACTACAGTCAAAGATAGTGGTGCACTGGCACCACCCCCAAATCTGTATGGGGCCCAAGCACATTCCTCCACCATTGGGATCTCCCCATGTGGTCTGTGTTATCAAAGTCATAAGCTACACCGTACAACACATGGAGACTTCCAATGTACCTAACAGGCAACATTACCGCTCCAGAAAATAATGCTGCTGTACAGCTACCCATAGCAGAAAGTACTTCCCTAGTCACTAAGCTGGCCTTACACCTGTAGTTTTTTTTCTCATTCAGCCCTGTAGGCTAGAGGAGAAAAGACATTAGAAGCTAAAATACATGGATGGGGAAATCTTGCCTGCCAGGCAATTCTATTCGGACTGCTGCTGGTCGAAGCAGCAGTTCAAACTGCAGTTGAACTGACTGCAATGGTGTGAATTAGGCACAGGAAAGCATTGTGATGTATTTTAACTGCGCAGTTGAAATAAGCGGACTGCATCACAACTGCATATGGTGTGAACAGGCCCTTAGTGCCAAGAAGGCCAATCACAGCTCACATTTTGGCTAAGTAGGACTCTGCAAGCAGTGTGTGGCCAGCTTTAGTAAAGGTGGCCATACACTTTACAACCACCGCAAGACCTTAGTCTTGCGATGGTTGTAAAGTACTTTTTAAAAAAACATACGATCTGCCCATCTCGGACAGGCAGATCGTACTCTCGATCATCGCAAGCCCGCCCCCCTGAGGGGCAGGCTTCCGATGACCGCAATGCTGAACGGGCAGTGTGCGCACACCAGCCCTTTCTATTCTCCCTAAACTGTACACGTTCCCAATATAACCAGAACTGTACATCTTCAACCAAAATATCAGATTTGGGAATACAAAAAGTTTACTTATGGAGCTATCATTACAGAAGTCACTACAAAGCTGGCTCTACACAGCATACCTTAGACAGCTTCTGGTATTTACGTTCTGGGATTACAGGTTTTCTCCACAGGCTGTTAGTACACATGTCCGACGGGGGTGGCGTCATTGGTGCCGTATCCTCCAGAGCATCGTCATAACTGAAAGCACGACGGTGCATCCCGATAGGCAGGGACATTTTTCCTAGAAGCCCACTCGAGCCGTGCTCAATGGCTAAGGACAAAGAGCCAACTACTTACTATACAATTCAACTTCAGAAATATTCTTTAGTACACTAAATAGCAAACATCAGTGATAACATTCTTAAAGGTGGAAAATTACCTAAAAAACATGGCCCTAGTCTTCCTACCAATCGTGCAAAACATAAGTGGCAATACTACAGTCAAAGATAGTGGTGCACTGGCACCACCCCCAAATCTGTATGGGGCCCAAGCACATTCCTCCACCATTGGGATCTCCCCATGTGGTCTGTGTTATCAAAGTCATAAGCTACACCGTACAACACATGGAGACTTCCAATGTACCTAACAGGCAACATTACCGCTCCAGAAAATAATGCTGCTGTACAGCTACCCATAGCAGAAAGTACTTCCCTAGTCACTAAGCTGGCCTTACACCTGTAGTTTTTTTTCTCATTCAGCCCTGTAGGCTAGAGGAGAAAAGACATTAGAAGCTAAAATACATGGATGGGGAAATCTTGCCTGCCAGGCAATTCTATTCGGACTGCTGCTGGTCGAAGCAGCAGTTCAAACTGCAGTTGAACTGACTGCAATGGTGTGAATTAGGCACAGGAAAGCATTGTGATGTATTTTAACTGCGCAGTTGAAATAAGCGGACTGCATCACAACTGCATATGGTGTGAACAGGCCCTTAGTGCCAAGAAGGCCAATCACAGCTCACATTTTGGCTAAGTAGGACTCTGCAAGCAGTGTGTGGCCAGCTTTAGTAAAGGTGGCCATACACTTTACAACCACCGCAAGACCTTAGTCTTGCGATGGTTGTAAAGTACTTTTTAAAAAAACATACGATCTGCCCATCTCGGACAGGCAGATCGTACTCTCGATCATCGCAAGCCCGCCCCCCTGAGGGGCAGGCTTCCGATGACCGCAATGCTGAACGGGCAGTGTGCGCACACCAGCCCTTTCGGCATTTGTCTCCCGAACACCGTTCAAACCAGCCGAAAATCATACGATTTCCGGCTGGTTTTCTAGTGTGCTCCTTAGACAAAAGACGTGCGACTGTACAGCAGAAACGGTCGCACATCTTCGTTCACACTGCTCGATTCTCGTACGAGAATCGAGCAGTGTATGGGCACCTTAATACAGAGCCACCTTCAATTACTAATAAGTCACTAAATGGTAATAATAACTATCCCAGTCATAAGAAAAAGAAGGAGGGACATGTCTTGTATGACAGCACTAGATGTAGATTGTTGTTTATATTTATCTATAGACTGTTTATCTGCATATGTAATAATCCAGGGCTGGACAATTTTAAGGAGCACTGGCTACCTGGCTCCTGGGATTTGTCCGGCCCCCCGCTAGTACTAAAATATGCTTCAAATATACAGGTCTTATAAAAGCGTGCAGAAACTGCACTGCTCTTACTATACAATTGTACACATGGCAATATTTAGTAAATTGAGCTTTTAACAAATGGCAAATGTTCCAAATAAACCTCCAAAAGGGTTTATAAACTACCGTTTGGGACAGCCAAATATTACTACTGAAGACACTCACAGAACTGTGCATCAGAGGTACCGTAGTCAAGTAACAGATTCATTTTATCGGAGAGTATATTTAAAAGTACAAAGAACTTAAAAGGTATACTTTTTAATAGGTAAAACGTTGCTAAAACGGTTATATCAAAAAGGGCTAGATAGTTTGACTGAATAACTGGCCATGGCCTTCACATGCTAGACTGGAATCTCCTTTCATTGAGGAGAACCTGAAGAAGAGTTCATTTACCAGGTACATCAGGTTGTCTTGATGCCATTATTGGACAGGGATGCTGCCTTTTTCTATGACAGTCCAGAAAATATTCGCCGTTACCTGGTGAAAACAAACATCTGTTTATCACTCCAGCACACTAGGATCCATAAAAACAGAAAAAATATAGCCGATCAATCCCATACAACTGTAGCCACAGGGACATACTGACCGTTTCACTGTTTGGGCTTTTACTGAGTCAATGAGCCATATATGAGCATTTATAAAGCCAACCACTTGTCTGCTGTCACGTTGTTCATCATCTTACCAGTCCACGGTGATCCAGGGATTATGAGTGATGAGAGGAGGGACCACAATAGAACATAGTGCAAGAAAAATGGAAACCCTGAAAAGAGCTCTGAGGTGGTCCATGCAGAGTACCTGAAGATAAAGCAGAGAAAATCAAAAGTAATGAAACACCTACAAAACACACACAAAAATACAACAGTTGAATTTGTTGGAAACATACTAGAACTGCATTCCAGGAATGAATGTTTGTATTTTGCATGTAAACATTATAGAAAGCCTCACATGATACAAGTATTCAGATCAAGAACACAGACTTCATTTTCTGCATGCTACTTGACTCAAAACACAAATGACACAAGAAACAGCAAGGCAAGCAGCGTTTTCACAAGGAGATCAGCACTTGGCAGCCGTACTATTTTGAACACTACAGGTTTCCACTAAGATAACAAAAAAGGGTTGCACAGGCATTGGGACAGGAAACTGCAACGCCTACTAAATTGCTGATGCCTACTAGCTTCTTTAAGGCTGAACTCTGGGCACAAGACAAAGAAAAAACCCTTTGCAGTGGGACTCACAAACGGCAAGGGTTAACTGCTTTTTTTTGTCTAGGGGGACCTGTGTGAAGCAGTTCAGATACCTTGCTCACCAGGTGGTCAAAGCTCTACTCTGGCTTGTGGACTGTCCTCAGCATCCTAATATACACTGAGTGGCCATATTATTATGACCACTCCATCAGTACTTTGTTGGGCCACAAGATGACTCCACGAGATGACTTCGTTGGGCCGCCTCGTGACTCCACGAGATGTTGAAAGGTGATGCGAGGAATCTGACACTGCACTGTTGCCCTTCTGTTGTCTTGTACCAGTCTTGCCACTCTCCGTTCTGCCCTAACATTGACTAGTCGCTGACGGCCACAATTCTCACGTTCAGACCCAGATTTTCGGCTGACAGTCCAGTCTTTAAACACTATAACAACAGCTTCTCTTGAATATTTAACAAATTCTGCTGTTTTGCTGATACTCGCTCCATGGCTCCGAGCGCCAACAATTATCCCACGTTCAAAGGCTGTTACATCGCATTGTTTACCCATATCTTCAGAAAAAAATCACTTCTACTATCGTGGTAAACAACCTGCTTCCCTATTTATAATGGTCTGGTCCTCTAGCAACTTCAGCGCAAAATTATAGCTAATTATAGCTAATTTGCCTACAAACGTCAGGTGGTCATAATAATCTGGCCACTCAGTATATAATGGAGGGTTATGGGGCCTACATTAGACATGTCAATGGGCCTGTGACCGCTGCAGCCGAGAGGGGAAGAGGCTGCGGGAGCCGGTCTTGGAGCCAGGGAGAGCAGAGATCAGGTAATGAACACTGCTTTACACAGGTCCCCTAAACAAAAACAAGCAGTGAACCCTTATGGTGTGGGGGGAGCCCCACTGCAAGGAAATGATTGTTGTTTTCCTGGAAATTGACTTTAAAGCTGGGCATACAGAGTTTTTTTAAGTTAACCGTGTGAAAGCTCTCAATTTGCCTTTCCAAGCTAAGAGTGTTCTTGGGGGGGATCCCTCCAGTTTACTGTATTCCGACAGTAGTGGCTGCGCTGCTGTCAGAATATCCGAAGATTGCAGCCGATTGGCTGCAGTCACTGCGTGGACTAAATTTTTCAGATCATGCTGCTTCAGCAAAAGTCAATTGAAAAAAAAACAACTTTTGTCAAATGGGGGGGAAGGTAAATTCAACCAGTGTATGGCCAGCTTTAGTCTAGAGGTACAGGGATAAGGAGTAATACCTTCCTTACACCTTGCCCAGACAGGCCCCCTTCATCTGTGCACCTGCTACTGTGAAATCTCTTCTAAAAGGTGCCCATACACTGGACGAAATTCAGCCGGTTTTTAATGTACCAGCCAAAATTAAATACAGTGTGTGGGGCTGTCGGCTGGAAAATTTTTGAGTGATCACAGCCAGCAGTCAAAGAGCTGCCGGTTCTGATTCGGTATTGTGACAGGTGCTGGTGGCACCTGTCAGAATACAATGCAAACATCAGCATTCCTCGATCAACATGCTGTTTGTGTTCATGGAGGAACCGCGTCAGTTTTTTTTCGTTCAGCCCGCGGGTTGAACGAGAAAAATATTAATGTGTATGGCAAGCCTAAGGCGCTCCTGGCTGCGGTTGCACACTCACCTTCTCCACATACAAAGCTGAGGTAATAGCTGATGGCACCAAGAGACCACCCATAGCATCCAGCAGAAGAGAAAAGCGACTGAGCCTGCTGGGGGGTAAGACAAGTAATATCTCCCCTTCCTGAACCACCTCAACCCAACGAGTATTTAACCTGTGCAAGGTAATGTCCACTCCAAGGATAGTTTTTGTCTTTTGCACAGAGTTGGGCTCTAAGATTTTTAGATTACGGTCAACCTACACTACCTGGATCTGCAGACTGCCACACTGCACATGTCAAATTCCAAAGTAAAATCCCATTCATATACTGTTACTTTAGTATTGTAGTCCATTGAATAAAATGCATACACAACATAGACACACAATAGTACTGTTCTCAAATTCTGTGTATTGCTTTCATAAATTGTGCAGTCTAAGCATTGAAGCGCACTCTCATAGGAGTCAGTGTATTAGTATTATAATACAGGATTTATATAGCGCCAACAGTTTGCACAGCGCTTTACAATATAAGGAAGACAATACAAGATGGTAAGGAGTGTATGTCTTGAATGTATGTGTTTCTACATGCAATTATCTGAATAAGGCCAAGTGGGGGGAGGTGGGGGGGTGCGTGTGACATCAGCAAGGCTGCATTATTGTTGTCAGTGGACTATCTGATCAAGAAAAACAAACCATAGTAAATTGGATGAACTGTGTAACGTCTCAGGGTTTACTTCAGCATACACTATTCAAATAACTAATTGTCAATGCTGACACACTGGAATAACTATAAACAAAAGTGTTGGGCTTGCCAGTCACCAGTATCGGCCATATTATGAGTGATGCTGCAAATTCAGCAAGGATGGGTTGTGAAAGCATTGCATAATACGCTGCCAAGAGCCAGGACAGGGCTGCTCTCTTTTCAGTGTCCTTATGCTGAAAGAAAGCATTCCAGTCAAAACAAGTGCCAGAGTCCCTACAAGAAAGAATAGAAAAAGGAACTTCAGACTGGAAAACGCCAGATTTCACTTAAAAAAAAAAAAAAAAAGAAAACCATAAGAGCATGTGTATTTTTTAAAATTAAAATTAGTTTTCACAATAACATATTTATTTAGCTACAATGGAGAAGAATCTATAACAGCGGTTCTCAACCTGTGGGTCACGACCCTGTCGGGGGTCGAATTACGATTTGCCAGAGGGCGCCCGGGAGTCTCCAGCTATTAAAAAGGAGAACTATGAGGTGAGTGCTTTCCACTCACCTCATAGTTCTAGCCGACCTGTGACAATGACACTGTCACAGGACGGCTCAGTAGATCGGGAGGTGAGCGAAAAAATACCGGGTTCGCTCACCTCTCGATCCTGTCACAGCTCTCTGCCGTGACAGGGGAGGGGCTGGATTCCCCCCTCCTATCCGCCAGCGCTGACTGATGTCGCTGCAGCAGCCGCGTCATCCCTAAATTTTACCGTGGGAAGGGGGTCACCACAACTTGGCAAATGTTACCAAGGGGTCCCAGCCCTAGAAAGGTTGAGAACCACTGATCTATAATATAGATTAGCTATAACTGATTAGCGTTTCTGGGACTTAAACTGGTTCGCAGATGTGTTTGTGATGGTCTTCACATGACTGCGGCGTACTAAAAGCAGCTCAGTTTGCGATACAATGTACACTAATGCGATCTGATACGTAGACTACAGCCAAAGTGGTTAAAGAAGAACTCTGGGCACATTTTATTAACCCTTGCAGTGGGGCTAGTCAGGGTTAACTGCTGTTTTTTGCCTAAGGTAATAAAAAATTATACCCAATTCTCGGAGTCAGCTGACTCTTAAGGTGCCCATACAACTTGCCATCGTCCAATGAACGTAATAATCGGCTAACTAATCGATTTTGAAAATAATCGTTAGCTGCAGCTCTAAATTGATGGAACGTGCACAACCACAATTACTGTATAACTGGCCGAAAATTGTCTTTCAGGCGGACTAGAAAACTGCACATGTGCAAACAAAAAATCTGTTCTGTCGATCGACGAAATTTGGCTGATGAACAATAATCGCGACGTGAACTACATTGGTCTGTGCATAATGGGCTATTTAAATGAAAATTGAACAAGGGTGAGATGTCGGGACAAAAAAAAAAAAGTTGTACAATGGTTGTAAAGTGTATGGCCACCTTTAGATAGGTTCTGCTCCCCCTCTGTAGCGGTTTAAGGTCTCGTAAGTCATCGTGTTCTATACACAGTGTATAGGACATGAGGACGCAGAGGGACATACCGTTGCTGCAGCAGAGGAGGCTGGAGGAAGCACTGCAGGAACCGGAGTTCTTCATTAGGCAGTTCCCGATGTTAGGATGTTCCATGTCATCATGGAAAACGTGGGCTTTAAAGACATTAAGGCCCCATTCACACATGAACCAGCCTGCACGTACAGCTCCGTGCGGAGCCGTACCAAGTAGCTGCCGAGAAGGACAGGTGCTGCGTGTGATTAGTACGCAGCCCTCGTCCTTCTCTATGGGGCAACGCGGCCGTACGTTCCACTACGCTGGCCCGCCCTGCACGTCTGGAGGGGTGCGTGTGAGCGTGTTCATACACCACCGGAATGGATCCTGTAAACGTCCCGGCCAGAAAACCCACACCCCTACAGGCCTGCAGTTGAGGTGAGCGTACGGTCACTTTGCCCCATAGAGGATGGGGGCTGCGTACTAATCACACGCAGCACCTGTCCTTCACGGGAGCTGCTGGAGTACGGCCCCGCACACAGCACGGAGCTGTACGTGCGGGACGATTCGTGTGTGAATGGGGCCTAAGACAACATGGAACGTCCTAACTTTTAAACCCTTCCATGCTTTTCACACACAAATGTGCTGACACTGTCCTTCCTTCTGGGCGGTGGCTACTTTTGTTCCCCATGGTCCCTGTGTGTGTTGTAAAGTAGCCACCACTCCAAGCTCACTCCTGCGATGGACTACAATCTCACGCTTAGTTTACTAATTGGTATTGAGATTGTGCTTGACACGCTTGAACACGCAGGTACAAAAGGCATGTTCCGTGGACACATTTGGGGTGCCATTAACAAGTAACGGCACCACAAGCGTGTCATATGTTTTTAAAACGTTGCATTCATGCAACGCCGAGTGAACGGAGCCTATAGTTAGCCATTGCTAGGTATCGGAGCATTTGGGTGAGTACGAGTACTCACCCAAATACTCGGCATCGGTGCATCCCTAGTTAGCCATATACAGTTCAAATTTCAGGGGAAAAAAAAAAACTGACAAAATTTGTAGAGCTGCAACAACTAATCGATATCAACGATTCTCATTATCGATTCTGCTTCCAGACTCCTACAGTCATTGTCCAGTGGTGAGGAGAGCGCCAACCCCCCCACCGCATCAGCTCTGCTCCCACCATGCTCCTCCCCACTGGGAGCCTGCTGCAGTCTGTGTCCCCTTCGATCCCTGTCTGTAGCAGCAGAGGCAGCAGGGATCGGGGGAGACCCAGACCGCTGCAGCCGGTGCCCAGCGGGGAGGAGAAACTTCTGTCAGCCGCTGTGACTCTACAAACAGCTGTGACTTTCCGATCAAAGAAATAATCAATTATGAAGACGATTGTTAGTTGCAGCTCTAAAAATATGAGCCGTAGGTGGTCCCGCCAGCATAACAAACCAACTAGACAAAATCAAAACAGCCTGTGCTCGTCTCTTATATAATAAAATGCCCACCTGGTCACACACACTAAACAGATGGATTGCACATTCTCCTTTAGGCTTCATTCACGCTGTCCACTTGCGGTTTTATGCAAAGATCTGTCAGATTAGGTGCTGTGTTTACAAACATGACACACATGCATTTAGATGCATCTGTCCTTTGAAGTAGCCAATGAGATTAGAGCAAATAAATGCATCTAAATGCATTTTGGTGCATTTAGAAGTTCAAATCTATTCCTGGGCGCACCTGACTTCTATTTTTCTTAAATGCAGCTAAAAGCATCTAAAACACAAGGTGTGAATGGATTCATTGGAAATCATTAGACACATATACATGCATTTAGAATACCATTTTATTCCATGCCTGATGAAGGGACCCTGAGTGGCCCCGAAACGTGGAAAATTGACAAGATGTATGTGCATCAATACAATGATCACTGCTTGAAGATTGAACCATGGGGTGCTGGTGACATACTTTATTAGAACACCATTTTAAAAATGAATATAAACTCATCTAATCACAGCTAGTGTGAATGTAGCCTTAGATTTACTAAAACTAGGTCATATGAACACAAACCTTAGCAATCCATATGGTAGGTATCACATCATACATACCCTTGTACTACATGGTTGATGATGAATGTAAAGGGGATTCTACAATCAGATTGCATAGTGTATGGTCAGCTCCAAATGGTCTGTACAGCAAGACTAATGCACTAGAAAGCACTGAGTACTGGCCCACATGCTGGGACACTGACACACAACAACAATGATGCTCAGGTACACAGGTCAGGAAGAGATGATGTGATACTGATGAAGACATCACTGTGGATGCTTCACGGGGAAGGCTACAGCGGCAACAGCACCGCACACCGGAGTGCATCTACACTGATGGCCGGTAACAGAGACACCCCACCCCAAAAAAAAAACACAGTCCCCCCTGAAGCAGAGGGGCGCTACCCCTCCTCCACAACATACCCCAGCGTCGGCTCTCACCTGGTGTCCTCCCGGTGCTCTACAGCTCGTACACTACAATCCGCCTATAGCTCGCATCTCCCGTAACATACGATTCACACAAAGACTGCTAATACCCAGGCCGGGAAGAGAAGCCATTATCAACTTCAGAATGGCGACCGGAAATAAACCGCACCGCGCCTGCGCCACCTTTCAGGCGGGGCTTGAAGGACCATATGACATGTGGGTGACCTTACAGTACCGATTGTGTTTAGTGATCCAACATCCGCCATCTTTGTTGTGGGTAAGAGAGTTTGCCCGTGCGCAGATTACGTCTAGCCATCCACACGTGTACTCTGGGGGACCAATCCCTCGCACGTCACCTTATCCAATAGGGTGCGATGTTTATTGTTTCCTAGCAACTTAGTGTATGTTCTTTAGTGGTGCTGTAGCTGGTACTCCAGGGACATCATGGACCCCTCCAGCTGCCCTCTAGAAGTCAGGTAAATCATAATGATCGCAGAGCTCCTATGGAAATATGTATTTGACTGAAAAACAGTTTTCCTGCCAATGTCTGCTATTTTACACATAATTCCAGAACTCCGAGCAGTCCCTCTTCTGGTGGATGCGAGCGGGTCTGGCAGCGGCAAGTGTGAGGTGGGGAGGAGGTGCGGCGCACAGCGTGTGGAGCTGTGAACAGGGCCAACTGATCGGAAGCCGATTAATCGATTATTGAAAAAGTTGACAACTTTTCCAATAATCGATTATAATCGATTATGTCGATTAGTTGTTGCAGCCCTAAATAATAATAATAATAGTTGTATTATATTGTGCTAAATTTGTAATCAAACCTTGAGTCCCCTATCACACCTTTCGTAAATGCGTGCAAAACTCGGGAGAAATTGCGCGCTTTCACCCATGTTCATGTAACATGTAAAAAATCGGAATGCACTTGCGGTGCCATTGCTTGTTAAGGGCCCCCCCAAACGTGGACGAGCAAACATGCTTTTTTCTGCACATTCAAGCGCGTGGGAAATAAATTGAGGACGCATGAAGTAGATTTTGCTACATGAGCTATTTTTTCTGCATTTGTCGCTTGTGCGGCACCCATTGAAATCAGTGGTGACAACACAGGTCTCTGGAACGCGATGGTGTGAATGGGGACTAAAGGCTGTGACACGCTGCACGTGAAGCAGAGCAGAGTGGTGGTGCGTCATGTCAATTTCACTCAGCTTGCGAGTGCAGCGTGCCCAGATGAAACATTTCATCTTCAGCCAATCGTCTTGTGCGTATAAATCCGCACTTAACCCTTGCAGAGTAGGGGCAGCCCCACTGCAAAGATTAAGAAAATGTTTACCTGGAATTGTTCTTTAAATACAACTTCAACTAAAAGTACATGAACTGTTAAAGTCATTGCATATACAAAAATAAATGTAGAGTCATTTATAAATATAAAGACCTGATGTAATCTTGTGATCTGGTTTGAAATCTTAAGAACCAACAGGAGCCACCGAATGTATAATATTTACAGTATTTCAAACGATCCGCTGTGGTGCGATCGCAAAAATTACAGCATGCATGATTTTATGTAATCACACCGCACTAGAACACAGGGCGTTGCTGTACCACACGTTGCGATGCGGGTGATCTCACTGTGGGCGGGAGGCGTATCTGCGGTGTCATTGACATGCATGGCCCTCCCACACCAGTACGCAGGGAGCCTTTGTTTATGCGATCCAGTGTGTTCATGGCACGGAACCATGCCCTGAACACACTGGATAGTGTGTCCCTTAGAGGGGTGTGGCCCAACAGGCCCTTAGAGGGGTGACATTCATTGTTACTAAATATAGTTCTACTTTATTCCTTAAAACGTCTTTGGTATAGTATGTCTAGATTTAACCCTACATTATCCAAATCCAATACCTTACTATAGCACATTGCGCAGGACTTTGTTCTTTGTTTATGTGCAATGGCTTCTAGGATTTCTGTTGGTCTGACCTAAACTGGCCAGGAATTTGTTAAAAAAATGTTTCCTGAATGTTTGTTCGATTTTCTAATAATTGTTGGGGATCAAATTGATGTTCCTTTGCAAATGCAATCATGAAAAGAAAAAAAATCGAAAAAGAGCAGAATAGAACATTTTTCATGAATGAACACTAATCTAAAATCAGTGAATGTGGTTTTCATTCAGGAAACTCAATTCATTGCAAAATGGAATATTAAAATCAAATGAAATCTCCAACATCATTTATCAGGCCTCTGATGGCATTATCTGTTGTTCTGACGAGAGTTTTCCTGTGAACGTCCATATGAAATTCCGCCAGTGGCTAGCTCTACTGTATGACCCTCTGCAGCAAGACATTGCACCCGCTGACTGCTACATCACTACCCCCAGTGTGCTATACCACGAATACAAAACATATGCAGATAATTCCCTAGCAGCAAGTAATAGATCATATGCGACTTCTCTTGAATATTGCATTTGGGTAGGTATAAGCAGAGTCAACTCTGCAAAATGATAGATTTCACTGCCAATAACGTTTTCACTGCAGTTTTGCTTACTGAACTGCTTAAAGGAGAACTATGAGGTGAGTGCTTTTCACTCACCTCATAGTTCTAGCCGACCTGTGACAATGAGACTGTCACAGGTCGGCTCAGTAGATCGGGAGGTGAGGGAACACATACTGGCGTTCGCTCACTTCTCGATCCTGTCACGGCTCTCTGCCGGGACAGGGGAGGGGCTTGATTCCCCCCTCCCCGATCCGCCAGCGCTGACGGGCAGAACGGACGGGGAGGGGGCGGGTACAACTGGCTCTGCCTCTAGATAGGCAGAGCCAGCTGTCAGTAATGCAACTGGGCGGATCCAGACATAATTGTCGGGATCCGCTTCAGCTGCTGCGTCTTAGTATACCGCGAGCAGCAGCTCGCAGTATACTGCGGCGTCTCAGTATACCGTGAGGTTAATAACATAGGTTTGGATACACGTCTTTGGGTGTATTTGATATATGTAGTTTATTCATTTACAGGGTTAGGGTCAGGGTAGCTGAGCTATGTTGTCCTAGATTGTTCACTTCTCCTGCCTTCTCCAAACTCTTCACTTATTTGTAAATAGCTCTGTTAGTGTTTTTAGTATTTGTAATTTTGTTTCTCTGTTTGGTCATTATTTTTATTTAATTGACCCAATTCTTATTCTTAATTACTTAATTCATTTTTTTTTCCTGACTGCAGCAGCTGCCAACACACACAACCCCCCCCCCAGCAGATAGCACGGGAAGCAGTAGCTTCTTTGCTATCTGACATCATTCCTGGGGGGGGGAGGTTAGGGGGGGGGGGGGGGGCAGAGGGCACCTCCCTGAAATGAGAAGGGCACCTCCCTGAAATTACTTTTTTCAGGTTGGGTCCATGGTAGTAGAAAAGGGCTTCCTCAGGAGCCGTTTAAAATTCTTTGCTCCCTTAAAAACCAATATAAGAGATTTCTCCATCTACACTAAACTGTGTGGATGGAGAAATCTCCCACTGGCCAAACTTACTTCAGTATCTTGCTAGTCGGCCCCCACTGGCTCTCAAAATACCTGAACAATGCCTGCATCCAATCAGATTGTTCAGGTATTTTGACAGCCAAAAATCTATAGAAAATCTATAGGTGTAGGGACAGCTTTATTTCGCCTTGCCCATTGACTCGAATGCATTTCTCCAAAATGTTACAATTATGCAACAACATTACAATTTTCAACCAAAGTTTGGGCAAATGAAAACTCTCAAATTTGCTCATCCATAGTAGTCTCAATTATGCCACCTTAATGCAGGATATTATATTATTTTCTTTGATTCCCATGGATGGGATTATTATTAAGCAACTCTCCCAGTAATACTGTACAGTCACAGACCTCCTAAACTGGCCATACACTTGGCGAATTTCGGCTGAGTGCTGCTGACTTGGGCAAAATTCGACCTGTGTGGCCCAGTTAGCACCCCTCCGTTTGCAGCCAATCGACTGCAGCCAATCAGCTGCAGTCGATGTTCAAGTATAATGACAGCGGGATCCCTGTCAGAATACAAAAGCCCCACACAGGGGGGTTCCTAGACTTTTTGCCACCTGAGCAGGCCAGGGAGTGGTGCACACTATAAGGGAGGTGGGCCTCTGCATCATCTGGCAGTCAGTGATGACTCTGGTTGCCAGGAGCTGAGTGGGATGCCGGCCACAGCGTCCCAGGTTGCTAAGAATTGGGAGGTGAGATGTGTACGGCCCTTACACTTCTCCCCGCCCGACTCAGACTCAGGCTGCCTCATTATAGGAACGGCCCGGCCTCCACAGAGCTACACAAGAAAAAATAATCAGTGTATAGAAAGCTTTATAGTTGTCATTTTACTACTGTTGAATCTCCTTGCTTCATCTGGCCAAGCCACTTACATCTGTTCTTACTTTATTTAGAAACTATTGATTACTGCTGGGAAAATGTTCGGTAGGACCAGACTGACTTTTACTATAATATTTCTATTACAGATGGGTGCAAGGGATCAATCAAAAACATGTCACCTTTGTTAATCGTAATACAGTGTGCCATCCATGTGGAAACTTTATTATTTTTACCGACATAGAAACAAGAAGACAGACTTTGCTGCAATGTCCAACAGGGAGTATTGGAGCGTTTGCTGTTAATATGCAGAGTGAAGTCGTAGCATTTGCTGACCAGAAACTTCAACCAAGCATTTATGTATATACTTTCCCAGGACTTGTCAACAGAGCAGAACTGAAAGGTATGTTGAAAGCTGATAAAAAGTCTAACTAAACCGGAAAGACTTCCGGTTTAGTTAGAACTAAGAGGTTTGGCCGAGAAGGCAGTACTGCACGTGGGCCACCTGCGGCATTTCCATATACACATAGTACACAGCAATAAAGTATTAAAATGAGTTAGGGTCAGACTAATCCAGCACTTGATTAATCTTAGTGCCCCACTCAATATGGCCGAAAGCGGCAGCCATATTGAGTAGGGCAACTGAGATTAATAAGGTGCTGGATTACTGTGAGCCTAGTTAATTTTAATACTTTATTGCTCTATACAATTTGTAAAGGGAAATTCTGCAGGTGGCCAAACCTCTTAGTTCTAACTAAACGGGAAGTCAGATGGTTGGAGAACTCGAGGAGTTGGAACTTTTGATAGAACACCAGGCTTATCTAAGTTTGTTTATTGTTCCCTGTACAAGGAGCAGTCTCCCCCCTTCTCCTTACACTGAACACGGAACACGGAAATAAATGAGTGCTGGTGATCTCCATCTTCCCCCCAGGTAAACACACACCTTCCATCCCAGCACCGATCTGATACAGCACCATTCCAGCCTTGTGGGTACAGGGCAGATCGAGGGACCTAATCATACAGCGCGCCAGACAATCCAAGGGCCGAACGATGGAGCAGTAGCCAATCGAAAAGCAGCTCAAGACAGGCTCTGCCCAGCCGCCATTGACATGCTATCAGGCTCTGTTGTGTTAAAGCGGCAGCGGCATGGTCTGGTGGGCCCAGGCAGGAAACATGCTGCGTGCAGCCTGTAAAACGGCGAAAGGGAACAGGGGTTGGTGACGGGCCCCCTCCTGGTCGCGTGCCCGAATTGTCAGTCCGCCACTGGTCACGGACCTAGAACAAACGTGTGGTAACATAAAAATTACCCCATACTCGCTGCTACACGCATACTGCGGTTGATTTACCAAAGGCAGATAGACTGTTTACTTTGCAAGGACCTTTCACCGTGCAGGGAAACATTCTCTTAGCTTAGTGAATGAGGTAAAAATCCACTTTGCAAAGAATACCCACATGCAAGGAATATAAAAAAAATATATATACATATATATTTATATA